AATCAAAGGTGTCCATTTCAGATGAGAGTCCCGTTTGTCAAAGGATCACAAAAGTGCTTCCGTATGCTGAAAGTCTCCGATGAAATACAAAGAAAGATAAAGTATGTTTCAAAACAGATTCACAACTTTATGAGACCAGAAGAATCATCCCACTTTAGAAGATGATAGATTAAAGATACTGTATAAATCAAATGTAGAAAACCATTCGGTATAGGAGAAAAAAGATCAGGGATGGAGGAGAGGACCAGGGAGCCAGGGAGAGGAAATTGAAAATTTTGCCGCTATACCGAATTAATGACACCGTGTGCTTGAACTGATTTTAGGCGTGCCTGGGAACATCACAGAGGGGTTATACACATCAGCTTATGCCCACTCATTACTGAACTTCTCATTTTACCTAATGTCATTGTGGTTAGTCGAAATTTCAGCCCTCACCTCGCTGAATTACAAGCCATCTGAAGAGAAGCTACGGTCTTGAGACCTGGAAGTACCTTATTATGTATTCCACCTATGCGATAGTTTTGAGATGCAGTACAAAAAGAGGAACATCGTCTCAATTTCTTTAAATGACTTTGAAGGCAGAAAGAGCAAAGTTTTTGGCTGGGGTGAGACTCATCTTACGAGCGATGTAGTGGGTGCTCTAACTCCACCAGCCTTCACTGTACAGCACGATGGAGAAAGGAACAAAACATATCTGCTGTTTCAGGCAATGCGAAGACTCGGGGCTCGGAGATCAACTTCAAATGAAAGCGGCTGAATTGACAGGTCAGTGGGCAGCTTATTGTTCGCTAGGAGCAGCATATGCTCAGAAAGCAGTGGTAACAACTCCGATGATCAGAGTTAGAGGACTTTACATGCCATTAACGTCAACGCGCCGAAATTAAGTTGGTTCCTCGTGTCAGGTCTCCTCTAGGCTAGAGCTGTTTATTCGTCTCGATATATCGACGGAAAGAGGGTTATTGTCATTGTTGATTACTGCTCTTTGCTGATTCGGATCTCGATAGTCCGCGATTTGGCCCGCGAGAGAGCGAGCGACGGGGGCGGCACTTGCCCGCTGTTTACAACTGAAGCTCGGTCGATCCCGCCGGACGAGTAGTCCCCCGTCGCTCGCTCGCGGGCACTCGCGGACCAAATCGCGGACTATGAAAGCAGCCACTGTCTTTCGCGATCGCTACCCACAGTAGATTCGGAATCGTTGTTAATAAATAAAACTCGATCTCGCTAGATTTAGATATTTCAGAAAAGGTTTGGCCTGATAGAAAAAGAGGGGTTCCATGGATACTGGTGAATGGTATTTCACTTGAGAGCAGTCAAGGAATGTCGGATTATATGCCATATTTACTGTGTGAATGGTAAGATTTGAACTTGAATTTTTGCAGCTGTGCCCTACGCCATTACAGAAAATGATCGAAGGTTTCGGTGTCCGCTTTCCGATTTACTCCTAAGCTCCAAAGCTTTCTTTTGTTAAAATTGCTATTCATGTCCTAAACATAATCATCCTTTGAGAACTGCACCGAATCAGGGAGACGGGCGTTAGGAGCGATTTTGGGTAATCGATTTGCCGCACGCGGCTGTCGCGGACCACTCATTCGCCGTTATTACAGCTCTAGCGTTCTTCATACAGCTCAATCGATATGCAAACATTATTTTATGCATGATTCTACTATTAGTACTTTTGTTCTTGTATTTCTTACCTACTGCTGCACCCTGCTACATTCCTTCGTGCGCGACGCCCCTCTCACCGCGACGCGACCATTTCGGTCCTAACGCACCACACCCGACCGAATCACATGTTATTTTCTCTAGGATATAACTAGTTATAAGTCCAGTCGTCTCCACAATCTCTCCATATGCTGAGAACCATGAAAAACCATTTGTTTGTAGATGAGCGGACGTGGTGAAATGCACACCTGTAATAGCTTCGGAGTCCTATAAGCAATAGATTCGAGCGTTCTCTCATTTCAGGTACGTCGGGGACAAGACGATTCCATTCTGCGAATGAAGGAAGAAACTTACAACAACTCTGAATTTCAACAATTTTTTCTAAGCTCAATGAACACTTGTGATCTTCATGTTTGTGAGCTTCGAAGCCAGATCACATCAATGATTAGAACAAAAGAAATATGGTAGAGTTGTGTAATGCGACAGATGATAATTTTAGCTGTAATGCTGTTGGGAGCGAAAAATTTATTTTACATAATCAGATGAAGATAGACAGTTAAATAACTCTTTCAGTAATATATTCTAAGAGCTAAAGGAAAAAGGACAAGGGTTGTTGGCAGTCCATTCTGGGTATTTTCAATGGCACATTTCGACAACGATGCCACAAGAGGAGGTATGTATAACCTCATGAGCAATCGGAAGGAATGCCGTAAAAGAAGAAGTGACTGCGGCTACCATCTTGATAAGCTTCCGTTGCACAAGTGGATAGCCCAGGCCGGGTCTGTACCGGAGTTTCAAACCGCTTCCGCCTTTTTGTCCTCTGTGCCCAGTGGAATTATTGGTGCGCTCCTGTTGAATATGGCGACTAATTCTAAAATGTTCTTGTCCAAGCAATGCAGGAAGACATCGTGCTATATATCCCGCTAGGGGTGTATGTGGTGTGTGTGGGTGTGGATGTGTGTAGGGCGGTGGTATGAAAGCATTGATGGTATGTGACAAGAAGTGACAACGATCGACAGGAGTTGATGAACAGCCTCAGAAGCAAAAGTCTTAGGATGCGTTACATTTTCTGCGTTAACGGCGAAGTTTTGGCACCTCGGTAGGTGGCGTGGGGTGCAAAAGGACTGTAAGTGGTTGATGGCTGAGAATGATAACATCTAATAGGGACTGGTAACGAGCCATAGAAGGAGAGAGCCAGCAGCGTATGTGGCCTATTCAATGGCTTGCGGGGGCCATCCGATTCAAAAGTCAGTATTTCCATGTCCCCAGCCGAGTCTGATATCAGACAATTGCTCCAAAGATGGAAGGCTTGCTCGGCGGATATGAATACGGGATTTGAACTCGTGACTATGCGTGTGGATGGTGCGCCATTTGCCACTATACCACCTCTGTTCTATTAAATGTTTATATAGTTCTCAACAACTCTGCTATTAGCATAGCGACATTAGATATGGTGATTTTCTATCGCACCTTTGAAGTCAGCCAGCAAAAAAAAACCCGTTTCAACTGGACAATAACAGCAGAGGGACGGTTCTCCATCGGTTGTCCACGGGTAATGCAAGTGTCCATGATAACAAACCGACGACGTTGCCATTTTAGCCATCTTGGGCACTTTTCCAAGAAAGTTCTAGAACCGTTTCAGGGAAAACGTTTATGGGCAACTTCTCGTGATATTTCTGAATCTTGTTCTTCATTTGAGGCAGTTTTTCGATATTTTTTTAACATAGTAGAAAAATCTGACTTTCGTTTATCCTTCTTTCTTCCTGAACGAGTTGACGAGTTGGATTCAACTGCATAATTTTCTATAAAAAAAAACTAATAAAGATACGGAGAAAAAGGAACTGAAAATGTTGCAAACCCTCGTTTTTTTCACTTTTTTTGAACATGGGTATAGCAGGACGGTGTAATGGCAAGTGATCGCTATCACGGACACATGGCCACGGGTTCAATTCCTGGGTCGATATTCGCCTAGGACAGCCAAGCCCTCTATCCTTTTGGGGTAGGCTAATTGGTACCAGACTTGTCCGGGAGGATAAAAGCACGGACTTGTACATTGGCAGGCCATTGCAATTCATTGTACAGGCTACATTCGCATTCAATACGCCACTAAAAAGTCGAGTGCGTGGGGGCACCCCTCAAACGGGACTGATCAACGCCCAAAGGCGTTTATCCTTTTATCCTCTAATGCAGGATTAACTCATTGGTTCAAGTTAGTTTGTCTGCTCTGAGGATGATGATAGCTTGATGTTTTTTCATGTCGTGATCAGCTCATCAAGAGATTCCAAATGGGTAACCCTATACGGTTGATAACTGCGGATAAGTGGGTTGTTTCTAGCTTGAAGGGTAAATTTTCTGAAAACCACCCTTGATCTATGAACGACTGCTAGTAAGTGTGGAAAAAAACTTGCTCGGATGTTCTTTGCCCATCTGCTAGGTCACCTTTTCAAATGTAAACTAGTAAGCTAGATAGCTGGCCATCAACCAAGAAAGCAGGCTGATTACATTGGAAAAGGTCATCGAGGGTCCGCAATTTTCTTTTCAAATTGAAGCAGGCCTCAAAATGAATGAATTGCCCGGCCTAATAAATTTGATTAAGTACTGCAGCCGCC